ATATATATATATAATTATTTTCTTAAATTCTTTTACAATTTAATACTAATTTATCATAAAAAATGTCTAATAAAATTAATTTCTAAAACTTTAAGTTTAATCAATCTTTTAAAATGTGATTAAATGAAAAATAATTAATTGACCACAATTTTTTACTTTTTCAACTAAAGGGCTTTTTGTCAAATAAGGTGCTAGTAATGAAATTAAATGAAAATATAACAATTAATTTACAACAAAAAATATTAAATGTTTTAGGAAAATAAAGTGCTGCTAATGAAATTAAAATAAAAAATACAACAATTCATTTATTTCATTTTCTTTTTTTTTGCACAACAGAACTTGCAACCTGAATAAATTAGAACATGGATGAAAAAATATCTGTACAATATATTATATTTCTTAATTATTATTAGAATTAGAATTATTGTTGTCATTATTATTACCACTTTGAGAAGTAGGTTTTACTATACAATAGCAATATAAAGCAAACTTTATTGTGATTTGTTGCAAAATCTTCAGTCAAAACTGCACCAATCATTCACTCTAGGCTAAATATGCACAAAAAAAGTAAAATTACTCAATTTTTCAATTATTTATTTTTTCCTGGTGAATAGTGATATACCCAGTCCTAGAACCAAGTGCCACAAACCTGCCTAGCAATAGGGATTGTGGGTAAGGTTATACCAGAAAAGCATGAATAGACCATCTGAGAAGCTCTGTCATATTTCAGTGCCCTATAATTTGCAAAGAACGAACCCTAATCGTACATACTACTCTAGATGGCTAGAATGCAGCTGTAGTGTATGTTCTGAAATGCACCTGTTGAGGTGAAGTCGCTGCTGCGGTCCAGTTGTGTTCTGTTTACAGACCGTGCTGAACCTCTCCTGCCACTGATGGGCCGCTCTGTCCTCTCAAACCGCTCATCCCACAGGTCCAAACCCTGGTCCAACCGATCGCTCAAGTGCTGCTCCAAGTGCGGTTCTTGCTCGGTCCGCAAGCTGTAATTCAGTCCCAGATCGGGGTCCAAATCCAACAAATCAGAACTGAATTCGCCGGACGCTGTTCTCTGCAGGTCTTTGTTGCTGGAGGCCTCTTTACAGGAGCGCACAGGGTTGCACGAGATGTCAGGCAGCACTGAGTGTTTGGATTTGGGTTCGGCTGTATTCTGCGACTGGAGCCACTGAGGACGCTCTCGATCCCGAGACGCTTCGGCCTCATCCGCTGCGGTTCGATTCAGCGCCTGGAGCCAATGTGGAATCCGACTGGAGGATGGCTGCGTGGTCACCGTCTTCATCGCCTCCGTCCGGCCGGCGGGTAACATGAGGTCCAGAGGAGAAGAGTCATCTCTTTCTAGAGAGTCTCTCTGCATTTCTGCCACACAGCTGCCAGGGTTAACTGGGTCAGATTTGTCCTGGCTTGTTTCTACTACTGAAACACCAGCATTCGACTCCTGAGGCTCTGGCTCATGTGGGCTGCAGTCTTGCAGACTGTGTCCTGAAGAGACAGGGCTTGGAGAGGTGCACTCTGGGAGATGTGGTTCCTGGAGCTCAATGGAGTTGCTGTAGTCAAAGACCTGGTTACCACAGCCCTTCTCCAAGTGACCCTCGAACACCAGAGTGCTGTTCACATACAAGCGAACGTGTCGCGCACCAACATCCAGATCCTGTCAGAAAAACACATATTCAAATAGATCATTAAATGTGAGTGTTACCAATGTGCAAACACATCTGGGTATTTATATAACATGACATGAATTTCCATAAAACAAACACTATTAACTGTTCCTAATGGGATGAATGAGAGGAAAAACATAAAAAATAACATATATATATATATATATATATATATATAAAATAACATCATAAAAACACACAGAATATACATATATATATACACACACACACACACACACAAACACATATAGGATATATTATAATGACTATGAAAGGGTGTTATATTAGGCTAAGTTTTTATATTCATATACCCATAATTATCTAAAAAAATGTGTGGGAGCTCAGCTAATATGTTTCTATAGTACTTGAGTGTCTACTATTTATGACATGACATGAAGCGAATGGGAAATTAAAACCAACATTTTTGAGTACTGTGAGGGTTGAAAGGCACTCTATGGTGATATTGACCCAAGCGTCAAAGTCTAATACTTAGAATGAGTTATTTGAACAAACCCTAACTCCAAGTCTAAGTCATAGTAATAGTGATGCTTGACTCAGCGAACACTACATACTGTAGACTAGAAATGAAATAAAAATAACATACAGGAGGGACATCCATACAGCACTCACACATTCTCTCACACAGAGACACGAGTCACTCCCTACCGTCCGTATCTGTATGTCAGTTAGTGTGTAAAGAGACGTTCATGCCGGAGACGAGTGCAGTGATCAGACTGACAGAGCGCTGGTGTGGGGGAGCTAAACTCAGCTAATCCCTGCAGCTAATCTCCAACTGTTCCACATACACACACACACACACTCAAAGTCATACACACACATTTTTCTGTTTTTGCATGAATTGATATCTTATAATAGGGCAAGAGAGCACAATAACTCTTCATTACATTTACATTGGCGTTTGCTCACAATTTTTGACGCACAACTTCACCTACTCCAACTTCACCCCACAGACGAACATTAAAGAACTCTTGATTCAGACCAAACAATCATCCAGAACACCCTAGCAACTGCATACAAGTCTATCTTGTTTCCTCCCAAGCTTTCTCTCTTAAAGTCCTTCATTTGGCCAGGTAAGATTTACTTTTGACTGCTAGAAAGATTTATTTGAACTGGTTCCCTTTACTCATTACACAGCAGGAAAACCTGTTTTCTCCCTATTCAATATACTACACAATAATAATAATAATAATTATTATTATTATTATTTTACTATTACATTTTTTAAAAATTAACTAATCAATAAAGAAACTGATTACTATTGAAATAATACAATTGTACTGTAAAATAACAAATGGGTACTTAATAATAATAATAATATTATTATTATTATTACAAAGACAGCAATAATACCAATAATAGTATTATTACAATTTTTTATCACTATTTAAATTTTACAAATTAAATAAAGAAACTGATTACTATTAAAATAACACTATTGTACTGTAAAATAACATAAGGGTACTACTATAATAGCAATAATAATTATTATTTATTTAAGAATTCATTCAATTCATTTATTTTGGTGGAAAATTGCAGGCACACCTTGAAGCTTTTCTTTTGTTGACAGCAGATGATTTGATTCACAAATTTAAGTTGCTTGGCATGTGTTGCATTGGTTGAGAAGAAGGTTGCCGCTCTGAGACACTGAAAACACCGGATCATGAGCTGCTTCACGCTCTCTTCACATGAGTCAGGTCGGAAAAATCCATAGAAATATGTAAAATAGAAAGCATATTTGCTGGCTCGCTGATGTGTTGATCGTGTGTTTTTGTAAGTGCTTAATCTGCAGTATGTCAGCAAACATTCTTGCTGATGAACACTGAATTGATCATTTGGATTGATGGATGTCCTGCGCTTGCTTTCTGTAAACACTGTTTTATCGATCAGCTTGTACTTTCGGCTGTACTTACATTAAGGCTGTGGTTATAATTCCACATTTTGATCCGAGAGATGTTGAAGTTCGGAGTTCGTTCCACATTCCTGATGATAAAATACAGCTGGACGGGCGGGTGGAATGGACAAGCCCACATATGACGCTCTTTTGTGGTCTAAAAGCACACAGATATTGAACACATGCTAATTATTTGCATCAATTATTATCTTTGTTCTACAGTAGTATGTTTTCCCCACTTACTTTAGTTTTTCCGTTGACGAGGGCAGCCAGATTCCCGGGCTGGTCCGTGTTGCGAATGTCCAGGTCATGTGGAGACACGTAGAGTTTGCGATTTTGTGGACAGAAGAACTGAACTTCTGTGAGCCCCACCTGACCCGGGTGACCCCAGTTTGACAGGATCTCCATGGTAACGTAAAGAGTGGGCGTCACCTGCAGAGATGCTTCCCTCTGCCGTCATGCAATCAGAGAAGATTTAGTCACATAAAGACATACTAGCGGTTGGTAAACTAAGTAAGCCATGATGGATCAAGCTGGTTAGAGCTGGTTGAATGATTACTATGGTCCATAAACCTGGCTGAACACCTTAAAATGTTGTCTTTTCTCATTCATAGGTCACCTGTCTACTGTACAGTACATGTTAACACAGATATACTCACAGTCAGAGTGAAGCTGCTGCTGTCGGTGACATCAGACTGATCGTCAGCATCGATCCTCTCTAGAGCCTTTAACAAACACTTCTGCTGCCTGAGAGAGAGACGGAGAAAAAGTGTTATAGTGTTAAACAGTGTTAAAACTTTTTCAAAATAGAACCATTTAGTTGCATGCTGCAGTTTATCATTTCATTATCATATAATAATTGTGTGCTGTAGTTTTTGGGTTTTATTTACTGTAAATTTACACTACATTGCGTTCAAAAGTTTGGGGTAGGTACGTTTTTTTTAAGGAATTAATATTTCTATTTATAAAGGATGCAGAGGCAAAAGTGACAGCAGAGGCATTTAATGTTACAAGAGATTTCTATTAAAAATAAACACAGTTGTTTTTCAAAAATTCTATTCATCAAAGAATCCTGAAAAATAAAATATACAGTGTTTTCCACAAACAAATACTCAGCAGCATGACTGTTTTCAACATTAATAATAATCAGAAATGTTTCTTGAGCAGCAAATCGG